ACATCAGATTTATCATTAAGTTGTAGGGAGACTCCGTTCAAGATATCTTAAATATATCTTTAGATATGAGATAGGCTAAATAAGCTTCAACTAATGCAAATTGCAGACTTTTTCATGTTCTGTAAATAGTATCTAAAAACATAGCTGCTGCTGTTGATCATTCTGTTTTTATAAGCAGCCCTCCCAAGACAAATACAGGAAACACTGGAAAGGCCTAAAAACATTTATTGAAGATGTTCTTGATAAAACAATTGACTGAGTGACTCAGTCTGCAGTGTTTGCACCTGTTTAATCACATGTCATATATTATATACCTCTGTATAACCATGTTAGTAGTTTTGTAGTACAAATACACTACACGTTTTACTTATATTTTATCAAAATTTGAACATTTTTGCTTTGGGCAGGTAACTTTTCATGTTGGGCAGGTAAAGAAAAAAAATCTTGTTGAACCCTGTGGGTTTGATTAAGATCAGTTTTCTGCAAAAAAATCCTCTAAATATCACATTATCTCTACTTTTTATGATAATTTTATACCGCGATATATACCGTTACCATGAAGGGATTCAATTTATACCGTGATATGAATGTGAGGTCATACCGCCCAGCTTTATCTGTGTCATTTATTAAAACAATAAGTTGTTGCACAGCTTCTGCACCATGATGAACTGTTGACAACATTAGGATGGAAGTCTGTTTATTTTATACATCTGATAATTTACACGTCTCATTACAAAGCTGAAGCCCACTGTGTTCATAACTCTGTTCATGTGAAGACCCCAGAAATAAGAATGAACCCTACCATAACACTCCTGCAGACWGGTGAAGCTACATTAGCTAAACGAATGCTGCTAATTTTATTTACATCTTAAGATAAGCTTAATGTTGGTGTTAGTAGGTAATGCACTGGTTCAAATGACGATGACAAATGTTTAAATTAAATAAATATAATCTGAATGCATGTCCTCTGCTCCAGGTGGCCGCCCGGCTAAGGCAGCTAAAGCTGGACCGCTACATGCTAACAAGCTGTTGAGCTGACCCAGTTTTACAGCCCCTACATATATTACTGCTCAAATTATACTGACCAGTTCATGTTAGATGGGTCTTTCTAAAAGAACAGCTGGCATTTGATCTGATAATGAGACCGATACTCACTGACAGCACACTGATGCGGAGAGGGGCCTCCAACAAGCACGCCATCTCTGTCCCTCCGAACGGGCGCCCCGGCAGGCGCAGGACCTCAGGGACACTCCGCCCTCCAGAGCAGCTGCGAGCGGCCTCTAAAACAGCAGCAGCAGCGCAGTGTGCATAAAGACAGCGCGCAGTGTTAGTCCTCTGCTGGCTCAGCTGTAAACAGCAGCGTTAAGACGGGACAAAACTCAGAAGAAGTTACAGAGCTGTCTGACTGACAGGTTTTTACTCAGGTAAATGTTGTTTATGAGCGTGACGTTTGTGTGACAATATTCAACAAGATTCGACACTTTTTCATTCCCTTTTTTACAACTTAAATTATTATTATGTTGAATAATACAAAAGTAAATATATATGTGTGATTTTTATATATAGATTTTTTTCTGTAATATAGTTTTCCTCTTTTTATAAAAAAAATAATAATAATCGAATGTGCTGCCCTGTACAAAACCACGTATATAAGATATGTTGCGCATGCGCATACCAAGTAAGGAAATGTGTTCCATCGCTACAGAACCAAAAACTAAAATCAACAAAAAAACGTGTTTTAGAAGACTTTAACTTTATAAAAAATAAACAAGGACAAATCAGCTCTTCTGTTAGTCACTGACTCATGTAAGTAATACTTTTTGTGTTGTTTGTTGGTTAATTTCGTCTTTTTAGTTGTTTTACCACGTTGCATCGTGCTAGCTGTCCCGTCGTGTGTTAGCAAAATGTTCACAATTATAACTGCGAAAAAACAAATAAAATAACACACGTATGTCATTATTTTTGATGATTGTATGGTAAAGATGTTAAATACTTATATTTATTGGAAAATTAATGTTTTCATCGTTAAATTACTTTCAGTAAATAAGACTGAAATCTGATCATTTTATGTTATGATTTGATGAATATAATTTGTATTGTTTTTAATGAACGCCACTCACTGCCTTTAAATAGTAGTTTGAATCATATTTATTGTGTTATTAATGACTTGTGGGGGTCATATTTGCTTGTGCTCTTTCTCTTAGGTTCATAATATTGTCCCTCTGCTCCTTAACTCAAGACTTTCTGTCCCAGTGTGTGTCTCTGGTATGGTGTAGGGATGTGGATACATGTTTTATCCTACACCAATATTAAATCTGACAGCAGATTCCTAAAGAACATTTTAAACCCTGTAAAATATCACCAACATCATGTGATTATCTAAGTTATTGATGTTTGTTCAGGTGAAATCAGCTCATGTTTTCTTGCTGCAGTTCACAGCAGAACTAATTGTTTTTTATTTTTGTTCATAACTTCCTCAGTGTTCAAGACATCGCCATGAAATTATAGGAAACGATTCACATTCTGTTTTTGTAGGAAGCATCTTGTACCCTAAAAACTAATAAAACTTAATAATAACCAATTCAAAAGTAGTAGAAAAGGAATAAAATAATATTACAAGGCAAACTGTAGCATCAAACCAACTTAACGTGTCAAAGTAAGGAAATTAAAACAATTTAAAAACCATGTGGACATGTTTTGTAATCAAAGCTCCTCGACCAATGACAGCGTGTTAAATGTGTCAGATGATGAAGACGAGCGTCGACACACTGCAACAAGTGCTGTTCCAGATTAATAAAAAAACAAACTTCGACGTTTCAAATCTTTATCAAATTTGGAACAAGGGCAGATAAAATA